GGGTTTAGGGTTTAGAGTTTAGGGGAGATAGTGATGAAGATTGCTCTATGTCGGAATTGCTCGCGTTGTCGTATGAAGACAGATGTTCTTGGAATTCTTGTGGTGGACATGGGCTAGCTGCAAGACTTGGCACCAGGACTGTCAGCAGACACAGATGACTCCACCTTGATCTGTGGATGCGGCTTTACTTGCGGAACCCCATCCGCTCCTCGACACAAGAAGCGTCAATCATCGTACGCCGAACTGCGGCCTTTCTACTTCATTCCTTTCACAGTGAACGACGAGATCCTTTTGGCGTTCAGCAACGCCAAGATACTAAGTACTTAGCGCGCCAAAAAGGCGTTAAAGCCTCGTGCCGACAAGGCATTGGATCGCCACCAGAAGAGGCTCAAGCAGCAACTGACTCAAGCGTAGAGGCATGTTAGACGCTCTCGGTCCGCTGTGTGTGTGTGGGTGCCATGAAAGAGATCTACTGCCTTAAGCTATGCCGAAGAGTGGGTATCGCGCTTCCTGTATGCATGGCATTCGCAGGTGCAGCTTCGAGATAAGATCTGCTCCCGTGACTCCAGCAGCGGTGGACAAGGTGCCTGGATTGGCCTTGGATGTTGGGGGGTTGGCATGTCCGAAGAATGCGCTGACCCATTGACACAGGACTCAATAAGGTTCTATCGAGCAGAAGACGTGTTGCAATGTGTCGCCAGTGGCGGCGTTCGCAAGGTCTACAGCTTCTGTGTACATTGTTGACGTTTCTTCATGTGGTTTGCAGAATCGATGAGGTGCTCGACCGCCAACTGAGATTGAGGCACGACTAGAGACCTCGTGGGCATACAGCCCTAAACCCTAAACCCTAAACCCTAAACCCCAGCCTGACATGCCGGCCTCTTATGGTGAGATCTGCTGAAATCTGCGTAAATCTGCCGAATTTAAACGGGCGAGAGCTTCCCGGCCAAGAGTTAGCTGCCCTACGCCAGGTCACAGAGTATCACAAACTGGCCCAAGGCCCCCCAAATCCGTAAACCTATTTTTGAATGAGCTCTAGCGTAGTTTGCTTGGGAGGGAGGGGGGGTGACACTATTGTTAGTGAGGTGTTGGGCGTGGTTCGAAGAATGATCCAGACTCTGCAACCACAGTGTTGTGATTCCGGACCCTCGCAACCCCAAGTGCCCTAAACCTTGGGATGTTCCGCCTTATACTAACTAACTAACTAACAGTCCTTAATAGAAAAGTTATAGTGTCCCCTATTCTAATCCCTGCTGAGGATTGTTAGTATAAGGGGGAACATCCCAACCTAAGCCGCAAATCAAGTGTGCGCTTTGAAAGGAACTCCGCCAACCAGCAAGCAAGCAAAGCCTCAGCCCTAAACCCGAGGCAACCCAAACCCTAAACCCTAAACCCTAAGACTGCTTGGCGGGTGGCAAAAAAAATCCCTAAAACCCCTTCTTTGTTTCCTGGTGCAGTTCCGGGGGCGGTGGTGAGCTGCGACCTCCAAGAAGTCCGGCTTCGGTTGACAAGGCTGGATCTGGAATCTTTGACCCTACTTGTAGGACCCAGAGACTCCACTTTCCCTTATACACTGTCCCTTATAACTAAGGAATATACCTTTAGGGGTTTAGGGCTTAGGGTTTAAGTCCCAGAGACTCCAATTTCCCTTAATTAAGGATATATATACCTTGAATCATATCCGGGTTCCTAATCGAATTTAAGGTCTATTCCTTCATGAAGGGGTTTTGGAGTCTCTAGGGATACCCATACATTCCCCATTCACGAGCCATTCACGGGGTAATATAATTTGTAGTGCCGGGGCAGTGCGTTTCGAGGGGAGGGGTGGGGCATTTGGGGTGGCTCGGGGGATTTCTGGCAAGCTTTCTAGACTGGGCTGTATCTGTGTGTGTGAATGAGTGAGGAGGGGGGGGGGGTGTGCGCTTGCGCGTGCGCTTGCGCGTGCGCTTGCCAGCGTGTGCGTGCGTGCGTGTGTGCATGTGGCTCCTGTTTCCGACTTCCAACCAGGCAGTTGGGCGAAACGTCGCCTTCGGCCAGGCCAAAAGCCCATTGAGGCCATTGAGGCGCCAGTTGAGCAGTATGCGGAGGGTGCGTCGTCCCGGGTTTGCGGGCTAGGCTGAAAGGTTTCACAGGGCATGCTTTGCCTAAACCCTAAACCCTAAACCCTAAACCCTAAACCCTAAACCCTTTTTAACGGTGCCCGGCAGAGTCTTGAGGTGAGGCATTTTTCGTTGCCTACTAGCCATCCCAAAATCCCCGTTGCCAACCCTAAGAACCCCAAGTCGTGTCTTTGCCAGGCTGCTTCTCGTTCGCCACGGCGAAAGTGCCAATCGGAAGCTCAGCAGAAATCACTAGAATACAAGCTGCCTGACCTCTCCATGTTTCATGAAGCCGGTGACACGCGGGCGGTCTGCAGAATCAGTGAGTCTTGACGAACTTGCCGGTGAGGGGCAGCACAAGCAAGTGCCCGGATCCTGCACTGTCTCCGAAAGGCCCGGGGTTGCTAATCCGTGTGCAGTTGCTCTACCTTCTTTGATATATACAGAATTTTTGGGCCGATCATTGTTTTGTTTGTGCTTTGCAGCATCAGGCCAGCGGCAAGCTGCAGCATTGTCCGACCGCCTGACCGGCGAAATGCGCGAGGACAGGATGGCTATGCTGTGGTGCTCAGCATATATATATATATATACTTATTTATTTATTTATTTATTTATTTATTTACATATATATATATATATATGGGCCTCCAAAGCATGCTTGCGTTGATTTGTCGATGTATACACCTCGACCTCACCGGATCAGTAGCTGTGTAGAGGTTGCGGCCGCCGGTAACGTGCAGATCTGGTGCAGCCCCATGTTGCGGTGCTTGGAGACGATCCAGCCAGCAGCCTGCCTTCTTTGTTACGGGCTCGAATGCTGTAGTCGTGCATGGGCCAAGTAATGTGACAACGCTCTCTCTCTCTCTCTCCCGCTCGCTCGCTCTCGCTCTCTGTCTCTCTGTCTCTCTCTCTCTCTCTCTCTTGCTCGCTCTCTCTCGCTCTCTCTCTCTTGCTCTCTCTCTCTCTCTCTCTCGCTCTCTTGCTCGCTCTCTCTCTCTCTCTCTCTCGCTCTGTCGCTCTCTCTCTCTCTCTCTCTCTCTCGCTCGCTCTCTCTCTCTCTCTCGCGCTTGCTCTCTTTCCCTCTCTCTCTCTCTCCATCTCTGTCTCTCTCTCTCTCTCGCTCTCTCGCTCTCCCCGTGCCAGGGTGAGCCTTTGCCATGCATGCCCCACTCAAGAGCAAATAGAATCCCATCTCTGCGCTTGTGAGTTCACTTGGCCTTTTCGCCTCTCCTCAGGCATGAACATGCATGGGAGAGTGAAGGGTGCTACAGGACCTAGAATCCGAAGCTGGCACTCCAGAGACATGTGTCATGTGTTGTTCCCCCTGCTTGCTCACACCGCTCCCTTGCAGACCATGGATGCCTTGGGCCTGACGCGCAGCAAGTGCATCTGCCATGGTGGCATGGCGGCATGACTACCTGGGCTTTGGCTTTCGAAGGCCAATTATAGGTGCTCGAAATCGGGCGAAATGCAGCGATTGTTCTCGGCAAGGGGGCGCGCAGCTCGGTAGGCGCTGCATGCCTTCTCTAAGAAAGGATAACGAAAAGATCTGCGTTGCATGCAGTAAGGTGCCTGCTACGAGCATGGCTGCGCGGGACTCTCCTTCAAGGGCCTCTCGGGCTCGCAGAGACAGACGCCACGCGCATTCTGCAGATTCCGCTCGTGCCCCGAGTTTCATTTCTCGCAATCCCGACATTTCATCTGCAGGTACTGCACGTTCGACTGCACCTATAGTGGTTGTTGCGAAGTTCTTTTCTGTCCAGCCTTTTGATTTGCCAGGGGAGGTGAACATGGCAGGCTGAGGCCGCTGGGTAAAGTCGCTTAGGATCCGTCTGGCTTTCTGGTAGGGCCTGTTCTTCAGGCACGCCAGCAGAAGAGATTGCACCATGGCCACGCATTTTCAGAGGGTCGATCTGTGATCCATACCCTCACTTCTGGTGGCAGTTTCGTAGGCAGTTCTAGGTTGCTCTCCCTGCAAATACGGAAGTGAGCTTGCCAGCAGCAGTCGTACCAGACCGGGAACTAGACTAGCTGCATGGCAAAACCCATGGAACATCTCAGGGTGCAAGCCCTAAACCCTAAGCCCTAAACCCTAAACCCTATAACCCTATAACCCTATAAACCCTAAACCCTATTAAACCCTAAACCCTAAACCGCTTCAGTAAGCACGCCATGCTGATGAAGATTCGAAGCTGGTGGGCTCATCGTGTATCGTTTAAGTAGTTGCCGTTTCTGTATTTATGGGATCCTATTATTTGGGGGTCTGTACTTGTGGTCCCTTATTTTCGTAAACACCCATATTCACCCTACTGGCCCTGCCCCTCCCTTCTCTGGCACTCAAGGAGCAGCGGTTCCCAAACTTCCGCTTCATGGGCTCCTTGGCAGAGTCGAGGCTTCAGCACATCTGCAACATCCCACTGAGGGGGTTCACAGACCCGCTCTTTTTTAAAGCCTCTGCGGCCTGGGCCACCCCCCCCCAGCCCAAGCAACTCTTCCACCGGTATTCTCTCCCGCCCCCACGGCAAGTGCGAACGCATGGGCGATTCCGGCAAGTGAGGCAAAGTGCGTCAAAGGCAGGTTTCCGAAGGCTCCCTCACCCCGCTCCCTGAAAGACACAGGCCTACGTAGGCCAACGTGCCAACCCCCACCCCTCACGTCATTGCTTTTCCCGGCATGCTGCCCTTGGGCTCAAGCTTCGTGCAGGTTTGCCAAATCCTCTTGTAGAAGGGGGGCTGTAGATCGGTTGCCTTCTTCTTGCGTCTCTGCATGAAAAGAGAGTTGGCGGACCGGAGATGGGTTCTGAGCTGGAATTATCATTCCATGTCACGATTGGTCAGACAACCCCCCCCCCCCCCCCCCCCCTCGGATTCATGAAAACCTGAGCGTCGTGCAGGACCGCCCATGAGTCGATTCTTTGCAGGAATACTGCTGCTGTTCTGCTGGACGGCAACAGCTATTCGGACGGATTCGGATGAAATCGACTCAGATGGAATCTTGCTTGCAGAGGACATACATATCATGACACGTTGTGCAACTCTGCACTCGTACCCTAAACCCTTAACCCCAAACCCTTAACCCTTAACCCTAAACCCTAAACCCTCATTCTCCCGTAACGAGGTGCGAACATGAAGATTTGGGTCTATACCCTCAACCTGGGAAAGCTCGGTGCCTCGGCGCCCCCTCAGTGGGTCTATGCTCAGGGTTTAGGGTTTAGGGTTTAGGGTTTAGGGTTTAGGGTTTAGGGTTTAGGGTTTAGGGTTTAGGCAGGCTGGTACTGTTATCTCTGGTAGATGCAATGGAATCATAGTCGCACGGAGACCTCGTCGTTTTCGGTCATGTGCCCAGAGTTCTTCTGGACTCTAAATCCAACGACCACAGATTGCGCACGCGATGTAACTTAGTTCATGGTAAGCTCTTAATGGTGTTCTACTTGTACTTGGCTGTTCAAAAGGGGGCGGTTTTTTCCGATGACAGTTACATACAGTTGTAGTAGCATCTGACCCTCAAGCTTTACCTTAGACCTTAGTCATATATATATATATATGTATATACATATTAGTGTTGAGCCATGTTGCAACGATGCAGTGGGAATCTGTTTAGACCATCTGGAAATTGCCAGAGACATGGCAGACTATTTGCTGCAGCACACCTGAAGAATAGTACAGTCATCCCAAGCCCTAAACCCTAAACCCTAAACCCTAAACCCTATAACCCTGTATCCCTAAACCAACGGGCGTTGTCCGAGGCCAGCAGGAGGACAGCATTGCAGGAATGGTCGACAGCATCCTCTTGGTTGCGGGGCTACAGAGCGTCAAGCTGGTCTCCGTCAACTTCCAGGTGCGCCCTTACGCTGCACCCGCACTGGGGTTTAGGGTTTAGGGTTTAGGGTTTAGGGTTTAGGGTTTAGGGTTTAGGGTTTAGGGTTTAGGGTTTAGGGTTTAGGGTGTCTTGAAGCGGCGACATATCCTGTTCTGGGTTTTTTTTTGTTGGCAATCTGTATCTGTGCCGAAATTTGTTTATCGCTATCGATCACACCTTCCAGATTATCAATGGACACAGCCATAGGACGCAAAAAGTAGTTCCATCTCTTTCTGTCATAATTACCTGCTGTGTTGTCATTATTGATATTGCTGTTGCTAAAGGCGAAGAACATCTGAGACAATCGAGTTGAAGACTCATCTATGCTCATGTTGATCTGTGTGTTTCCTGCAGCGAAGGTTTGAGAAAAACTGGGATAGGCGGGATCAACCATTCTAAGCCTACCCCCTTTCAACAAACGTGAAGCTATATTATTGTTGGCGGTGTTGTCCACCTGTATGAATTCACATAATTAGGATACAGTTCTGAATCGCCCGCGATGTACTTGTGTTTCTTGTGGTATCATCCGGGCCTTGAGTTCCTGCAACTGGTGTTGCTGGGTCTGATAAGAAAGGCCTCAGCGGGTTAAGAAAAAGTACTTCATCTTGCTGTGAGGCCTCCGTAATGCATGCGGATGGACGCGCAACAGCTGCTTTGCAGGAAGCTCCAAGCGACAAAGACTTCCTCATTCGGCCGCCGGTGGCAGGTTGGACACGCAGCTGCTTCTAGTGTCGGAGGTAGCAACTCAGTTTCTTCCGAGTATCCTGGCAAGTCGGAGGCACATCACAGCATTCGCTTCGATTTGCCAGAAAGCTTGCCTTTGAAGTTTATGCCGTTTAGGCACTGCAAGCCCTAAACCCTAAGCCCTAAACCCTAAACCCTAGACCTTTGCTGTACCCAGGAGAGTCATCCGAACGCGACACCTCTGCAGCGAAGGGCATCTCGGACCTCGGAGGATCCGACTGGCTGGTTAGGGGTGAGTGAGGGCTATATATGGCCTGGCTATATAATCCCTTACAAAGGGAATATATGGTTGCGGTTAGGCGGGCCCACAACCCCCCCCCCCCCCCCCCCCCCCCCCCCCCCCCCCGTGGTTTTGGGTGGTTTTGTTTTGGGTTTAGGGTTTAGGGTTTGGGGTTTAGGGTTTAGGGTTTAGGTTTAGAGCGCACAACCATATATGGCTATATATTGCTATAGAATTCCTCACAAAGGGTACATATGGCTACATATGGCTATATAATCCCTCACAGGGTGTATATGGGGCCCATGCAGGGGTCCTATATGGAGGAGCCGCAGGTCTCCGCGGTTCAATTGGGCACGCACGGGTATAGAACGGTGCCGTAGTTTTCCGAAAGACCCTGAGGCTCCATGCCTTGAAGATACGGTGCGACTTCGCTCTGTTCTCCTTCCTCTACATCAGAGACTACAGGAGGCTAAGAGAGGCACGGTCCAGACATGTCCTGACGTTCATGTGTATTTCTACTAGCAGCTGCAAGAAGCCACTCTGCGCGGCTGGCGCACAGAACTGCCGAGCTTGTGCGGCATGTCTTGTTGGGGTATCGTGTCAATGCAGGCGCTGAGGAAATGAAAGGCCCAGGCTTTGTACCTTGCCCCTCACTCCTTGAGCCAGGCGCCTGTGGACGGCGACATTCGGGGAGTAAGGACTGACAGCCCAAGTGGCATGGGGTGTCGTATGTTTTTGGAAGTCCGCGGCCGTTGTGCGTGATGTGACACTGTCTGACCGACTTGAACCCTGAATGTTCCTTGGCCCCTCATGACTGCTTGGAGCATCTCTGACCAGGGTTTCAGTTGGTATGAGTTCAGCGGAGCACAGAACTCTCTCCGAGTGCAAGGGGCAACAGACCGACCCAAGAGTGGGTTCCAAGAAGGCTGTGCCTTGCTGTCATGGAAGCTCGCCCCTGCGTTGCCAGGACACTGCACTTCACGTGCCCTTATCGCAAGAATATGCAAGGAAAGACCCTTCACTCAGATGTACGCATCAGCTTTGTGTTTGTCATGCTCTTGCTTCTCAGGAAGGCGCACCTCCGAGATCTCAGGGCGACTGATGCCGTGGACGACAAGTGACTTCGTTGTTGGCTCATGTTCGACTCTTCACGTCATATCATGTCAGCTCTGACTCATTGAAATACTTCCCACTGTCGATGAACGAGCTTCAGGTACGCCGAAGCATGCGGTGGTGCCGACGAGTCCAACGAATTGCCAGAGAACTACTGGGGAGGTGGCATGCCATGCAGGGTTGGGAGATGTTGAGCGTGTTAGGGGTCAGGGTCTTGGGCTGCGTGGTGAGTTCGTTATAGTTCGCTTACTCTGACGGCCTGGACATGTGTGCTTTTCGGAAGGAACAGAGCAGCGAAGTGCTTCACCCTAGCCTCTCAGAATTTCAGTCGGCCAGGCGTTCTGAACACTGATGGACCTGGTGGACATGGTGCCGTGCATGCCCAAGACTCGATGCGGACGTGTTCTCTGTAGCTTCCCTCGTGAGGAGACACGAGAGGAAGCCGTGCCAGAGCGCACAGGTGCAGGTCAAGCAACGGCGGTGCGACATATCTTGACTTTGCGACTGCCCAGGACATGGATGTACTGAAAGCTGCACAGAGATGTCATGCCGCCTGCATCTCAGTGGAGTTTTCAAGTGCACTTCACACACACGTTCTACACGTGCAAGTAGAGTCTAAGTAGAGTCTTAAACTCTACCTTCAATTAAGGTGGCCGTGGAGCATGTTCCCTGGCTTGCACATGGCAGCCAAATCGATGCGTCTTCCAGACATGCAAAGGGCATACATTGGCATAAGCGAAGCTCCGATGCCGCCTCTAAAGCCAACTTTCAGGTTCTCCTTTTTTTCTTCGGGATTGTAAAGCGGCTAGCAGGTTCAGAAGTCCTTTTCGTGCCATTCGGTGTGGAAGGGGTGGGGGTTCTTTTTGGGTTTTTTGGGGGTGTTTTTTTGGGTTTTCTAAACCCTAAACCCTAAACCCTAAAACCCTAACATCCTAAAACCCTAAAACCCTAAAACCCTAAACCCTAAAACCCTAAAACCCTAAAACCCTAAAACCCTAAAACCCTAAAACCCTAAGACCCTAAGACCCTAAAACCGCAAAACCCTAAACCCTAAACCCTAAACCCAACCCCTACTTACACCCTAAACTCTAAACCCCTAAGCCCTAAACCCTAAACCCAAAAACACACCCAACAATAGCAAAAAAACACCCCAAAAATGCACCTGACTCCGTGTGGAAGATTGATGAATCTGCTTGCAGGGTAGCCGTCTAAGGAAGACACCTTTGGTGTGTCGGCAAAGGCCTCCTTGATAACTCGCTACAGATTCCTGTCAGCACTCGGCCCCCTGAGGTTTATTGTTTGCATCTTCAAGGTTTCATGTCAGCAGCCGCTCTTGCCTGCAAGCCTCTTCCACTTACGAAGCAGACTGCTCCGCAGAAGCTCTTCTGAGGACTGACCTTCGTTGCAGAGGGTCGGAACCGCGTGGCTGACTTCGTGGTGAGCACTTCGCACTTTGGTAAGATACCGGATAGCAAGGCGCCAGCTTCCCTTCTGCTCTGACCAGTATGCCTCACCGCCGTTGCTGTGCACTTCTGCCCTCAACAGCCCAAGCCAACAGAGGATGCCTTTTGTGGAAGAGGGACTGCTATGTATCCGCTGCGCTGAACTTTCCATGGCAGGAGATGTTCAAGCTATCGTCCAGATCACAGGACCTTAAGCGCTGCAGGGGTGGGTGTGGAGGCTCTTCGCCCACAGCTTGCAGGAGCTGGGCGAAGCCATGGATGCCCTGGGAGTTGTCAACGACAACCACACCGTCCCCACCTTCATGACCGGAACCTCACATTGCGTGTGATGGGCTGCTTCTTCAAGGTCAGTTTCATGTTAAGATGGGGGGTGGCAATAATGGGAAGTTTTCCGGCCGGATTTTGGCCCAACTGTTTGTTGCATGAACGATTTCCGTTACGTTAGGTTGTTGGGAGCCTGAAACCCCGGTTTTTCGGGGTGATAGTCAAAAAAAGGGTGGCAATAGTGGGAAGGTTCCCGGGAGAATTTCCCAAATATGCTTTCGAGAGAACTCCTGTTACAGCTCAATCCAGGCAGAGACTGTACGGCTGAGAATGCTTCACTGAACAAATCTGAGCGCTGGGTCCAAACAAAACTTTGAAAGGGTCTGGGTCCCCCCCCCCCCCCCCCCCCCCGTGTTTTTTTTTCGGACCCGGAGCCTTTCCAAGTTTTGTTCGGACCCAGCGCCGGAACAAATCCGGGGTATTAAAGCGGCCTTAACATGATGAGCTTAGTTAAATTCAAGCTTCCCGAGCAGGAATTGCATTGCTGTGAAGCACTACCCCGACGGGTTCGTAGTTTTCCCTCTCCTGCGTCGTCTTCTCCCGCTCCAGTAAGCCCCCACAGAAAACAGGATTATCTCCCCAGTCAGAAGCTGCTGCTACATGCACCATGCGAGCTGTTGCGCATCCAGCCCTTCTCACATCCAAGGAGACTGGAACTTCCGCATGGTGCCTTTTGACGACCTGAAAAAGCTTGCCAATTTCTCAGGGCTGCAGTACACGGGACCCGTGTCCTGGCCTCATTCAACGCAATGACTCCGTAGAGACTCTTAACCCTTTGTGGCATCCCAATCTTCAAAGTCGCCGGGAATCGTCTAGTATACGACCCCCAGAAGGTGCTACGCAGGAGCCTGTATTTAGATGGAAAGCTAGCTAGTATAGGCGGCAGGTCGTGAGTCCGGGGCCTTGGATGAAATCGGTTTCTCAAAGATCCGGGAATCTCGAGTCCACGTCGGGAGTGGTGCCATGAGGTCCTCTCCATGGTGGCTGGAAAGATGCGATACGGATGGGTAAACCAGAGTCCCATGCGCGATGGCGTTGCCTACGAGGACTTAAGAGAGCCTTTGAATGGCCTCAAACCCTAAACCCTAAACCCTAAACCCTAAACATTCCTGTAGGTCGGCCAGCGGAAGGTGAGTTTGCTTGTTGCAGATTCACATGTCGACTGGTCTCACTGGCTTGCTGGCAGTTAGGGATGCTGGGTAAGGTAGTTGCTTGTTTAAGGGTTTAGGGTTTAGAACAAATATAGCGGCAGCTGGCGCGGGTTTTGAGAGTCGAAAACATGCCCCCGGACCTGGAATCTGATGGCAGGAGACACATGTGGCTGCTGTGGCTTTGGATCCGCTCAATGCGCCGAAGCTCAGGCAGGGTTGGGCTTCTCATCTCTCTCTCTTATGATTGCACTTCGAAGGACATTGCAGCGCCTTCTGATCCTGATCCTGATACTTGAAGAATCTCCCCCTAAACCCTAAACCTTAAACCTTACTTGCAGGCTTCTTCAGGAAGTGGAGGGCTTCGACCAGCTGTACAAGCACTTCGCCACTGCTTCGCCCCAGAGCTCGCAAGACACTGGGGGGGGGGGGGGGAAGATTCGGGCATCCATAGAAGCAACAATACTAGTCCTAGTATCAGTAGCAATATTCATAACAGTCGCATCAGAGCGTAGTAGCAGTAATGAAAATGGCAGTAAGAAGAAAACCAGCAGCAAAAATAATCACAGGAGTTATTAGTAGTCATACATAGTACTATAGAAATCGTGAGCTCAACTTCGGATGCAGGCTTGCGAGCATGCATCACAAGGGCTGCGTAATGGGACATGTCCTTCAGTCATGCAAGTTACTTTTGGGGGTTTGGGCTTAGGGTGTGGTGAGGAGACCTGCTGCAACAACCCTAAACCCTAACTCCCCACCCCCCCCCCCCCCCCCCCCGAAACCCCCTAAACCCCCCAAACCCTAAGAAGGGTTAGGGCTTCTGTGTTTTTTCTTTAGCATAAAGTTGCCACCCTCCGTCCGGTCACGGCTTTGAACGGTCCGGTCAGCCCAGCCCCTCTTCCTTAACGACCAGACGAACCCTAAAATTGGGGTCAAATTGGGGTCATATACCCTATACTACTGTAATCCTTATTAGAGTCTATGAACCATAAACCGTTGTAGGGTTCATTTAGTCCTTAAGGTTTGGACACAGAGCTCTGCAAACGCTTTGGCACCAGGGCTTTTAATCAGCAGGCCAGTGGTTGAAAACATTAGTATGAGAAGACAATCCGCTTAAAGGGAGCCCCAAAAGGGCACCCCGATTATCGGAAAACCCCTAGTATTCCGATAGCTTCCTGGAATGTTCATCACAGACTGTCGCTACCGAGGAAACGTATGCCAACGTGCCGCTTCAAAGAGGGGAAGAACCGGCCCAGCGCCTTCCGTGATGTCACCCATCTGTGCAGTTCAGCCAAAATAAGTCCCTTAATGTCCCTCTGCTTAGCAGGTTTAGGGTTTAGGGAAGATCATAGAACTGTGGCATAGTTTCTACTCGCCTAGGTAACTATAGTGATTAACGACCCACACAATTCAGAGCCAGTGTCCTTGTAGCAGCCGTAGCCTTGAAGCGACCCTACTATCTACCAGCGTTCCCGACATCTAGCCGGTTCACATGGCCAGTTCTCTAACAGACTCTCTGGGGTCCTTATCGGTAGGCGGCCCTTAGTTATTGTTTAGGGTACCCTAAACCCGAAACCCTAAACCCTAAACCCAAATTTTCAGAACTCACAAGATCTCCCTCCTCAGGTTCCAGTGATGGTCTTTGACGGGGACGCGAACACAACAACATTTCGGCCTTCGGAAGACTTCCTGTCGACGGAGGGCAGTTTGGATTGATCAGAGCACATCTTGCACGGCACTCGATTCTTGATGTGACTTGGTTTAGGGTTTAGGGCTGTTTTTTTGGGTTTTCTTACTGGCATACCGCCCTGACTAAGATGGAAAGTGGTCGACGTTCAAGCGAGAGGGCTACGATCTGGTCAAGGCCGTCGTGCAAGTTCTTACCTTGACCACTGCGCCGTCGAATTGAAATAGACTTTCTTTGTGCATCCTCCACTGGGATGAATCCTTAATAAGTAGTATAATAGGGGGTACGATCATCCCTATGAAGGACTCTTGGTGTAAGGGGGGAACAAACCAAATCCTCCACGAAGAGCGTCTTTCCTGAAGTCTTTGCTTCTCAGCCGCCCTCACGTGGGCTGTCAGGGGGTTCCCAGCCGAGTTGTTCTTTCGCACACCTGCCTTGTCATTCTCCATCCGCCGGTCATTACGCGTCACTACAAACCGAGATCCCTCTTGTTCGTTCAAGGAAATGCTAGACCACCAGTAGTTGGCCTACTTGTAGCAGATTCTGCGAAGTATTCCATGTCGCCGGCTGCGAAGGAAGACAAGAGCAAATTCCAGAGCTTCTCGAGATCGAAGCCTGCGAAAGAACTCGTCACACGACTGCACTTGGATGACCCCAGCGCTTCGCCTTCTTTGCAAGTGCATCGTGCAGAATAGTAGCTGGTGCCTGACGATTTGTCGTCTTTGGCATCTCCGGGTTTTTGAGTTCCACTGTTTGCAGGAGCTTCGGATCAATGCCCTGACATACATGGTAGTAGATAAGCGTCTGTGCGGAAGTGAGCCTCTTCTTTGCCACTCGTGAGTGTTGTGAGGTCACCCGGCTGCCCTCGCAGTGTGACCAGATCTTCTGGAGCAATGGCATCCAAATGCTGTCAATGGGCCCGGCCATGGACGTCCTAGGCGCCATTCCGGGAGCCAAGCCGCTTTGTTTCGCGAAACAGACTTGTGCCCCTCCCCCTGGGCTCTTCACGAGCAAAGTGACCTTGCCCCAGCAACCCTAAACCCTAAACCCTAAACCCTCGGTTGCGCAGGCTTGGCCTTTGACGCCATGCTGGAGTCTGACCACAACATGTTAGAGCTCAGAGCAGAGCTCTCGCTGTGAAATAGCCATGGCTCATGACCCCGTTTTTTCACCCATCGGCACTTGCAGCTGAAGCTGTTGTGCCTTCCCAGTCGCTAGCAGAGAAACTGCGCTCAAATTGCGGGTGGCTCCTCTTGTGCATGCTGCATGCCAGTGGACATGAAAGAGCGCCCGTGCTGCGACGAACAACGACGGGCATCGCATGATGTAGGATGTGGGCCTCCAGCAAGGCAAGCATATCGAGAGTCGAAAGGCGAATACATTTGTGTTTTTTCCGGCCTGAAGAAAAACTCGGCAAGCCTGCACCAGTAGTAGGCTGGAGTTGGGCTCACTTGGCAGCGTTCACAAATGAGCTCGGCCACCCAGGCTTCACATCCCAAAGCTTCTGGGACTATCGTGGCGCCAATGAGAAGGAAACGTCGGAGGAATGCACCCCGCGCTGCACCGAAGTTGAGGATGTTGCGCTAGCCTGAAGCTTGCCCCTCAACCCTGCAAACCTTAAACCCTAAACCCTAAACCCGATGAACCATAAACCCTAGAAGCCCGACAACCCCCAGAAGCCCCTCCTCAGTGCCACAATGGAGCCAGGATTCTGTGCTGGCCTGCTGCACTAGGTCAGTTTTACCGCGAGCACCCTCTACCTATATATATATATATATACAAGCATGATATGTGTGTATATGTATATAATGTTCTGTATGTTCAAGTATATTGGTAATGGAACACATATTATTATAAATAAATAGATTTATATATATATATATATATATATTCATATATGTAATGTCACTCTGGCCTCCCCTCCTCTGCTGCGTTTGTGTGCATGTGTGCATATTGCGCGAATCTCAACAGCCTTACCTGGGATCAAAGGTGTGAAACGAGCTGGGCGACGCCCGGAAGCAGATGTCAGGTTTCAACCTTGTTTCGTAGGTAGAGCAGGGACCTTCATTGTGTGGGATCCTCCGACTGACCTGTAGTGCCTGGATGCACATTTTACATCCCCAGGCTCCCTGGTCCGAGAAGAGCATGTATGGCACAAATCGTCTGGCAAGTCCAGTCCAGTTACGAGTCCAGCTGTCTGGCTTGGGCAAAGCTCCCGCTATGCTCAGGGGTGCCTTTTCGAGTCAACCAGGGTGTGAAATCTTGTCGTGTCCAAGGCGAAGCCAGTTGAAATGAATTGCCCCTACCCCCCACCCCCCCCCAAAGGCTCTTTTTTCCGAGGCACACGATTTTGAACCACGGGTATGCCGCACCAAGAAGGTAGTAGGAAGTGCAGGAAGTAGGGGCCTTCTAGGCCTTCAAGACATGGGGCTCTTTCTGGGTGCATGTGGGCTGACTACCAGGTATCGTTGAGTGGCTCCAGACGCAGTTCGAGGAAGCCATGAGCTTTAGCGATGGCACCGACCCTGTGGTGAAGCTCAGCGCGGCAAGACAGTCTGCCTACCGCTGTGGTCGGGCCAGCAGGCCTAAACCCTAAAAGCCCTAGACCCGAAACCCTAAACCTAAGCCCTAAACCCTAAACCCTAAACACTAAACCCTAAACCCAACTGAGGATCCTGGTTTTGCATCAGACCCTTGGTGATCTTTTGCTTCAGCTGCTGCTTCATGGCACGTCTACGGGCTGGACCTATGGGGATCCAAAGTACAAGTCCCTCGGCCACTCTGGGCATACTTTGGGACGCAGAGTCGGCAGAGTCACGACGAGCATGTGCTCTTGTCACGATCGTGTTTCCCGTGGGGCCGTGTGAGTTTAGAATTACGTGCTCACGGCTACGTGTTCATGCGTGTGCAGTTGCTGTGTGCATACCAGGACGTGTTTGCAGCTTCTCTCGACATTGCACCAGTAACAGTGTTGTGAGATGCCCTTCCGAACAGCAGATCCATGAATCCTAATTACTCGAAGCTGATTCCTAGATGCGAAAGCGCATCTGCCAGCTGGGGCCGGGCCTGCTGTTGTTCCGCATCTCGCGCGCGGTAAGGTTGAAGAATGCATCTGTCACAGAACTTCTTGTTCAACTTGACGGAAAGGCCCAGGGCTGAAGTGGCATGTCGTTTCTGGCCCATGCTAGGGCAGCCAACCCGAGAGGCAGAAGTGCGTAACCATGCTTGTAGACGCATGTTGCAATCTCCGGATATCGATTATGCGGCTCCATTCGCTGGAGAAGTTTTTGCAGATGCATTTGTAGCAGGTGACATGCAACGAACACAACTCCGACTATCACGTGGTCGACATCCGTTAGGCTGCTAGGGATGCAGCCAAGGAACCTGTCGTCAGGAGGTACGGCATGGCCAGCATGTCACGTTTGACTGCGCAGCTTGCTTCTGCACACGCACGTCGCGAGGTGATTCAGGCCCGCTCGTGCTACTGAGGTGTTGGACGTGGTCATCAGCACTGAAAACCGTGACGTGTCAGTGTCGAATCTCTCTTGTCGGTGGCACGACCCCTACAAATCCAACACCTGGCTGAGACCAAAGGCAGTTACTTGAGTTACTTGTTTGACTTGTCAGGCTTCTGCAGGGGTCCTGCTGTCTACCTCAGAGACGTAGGACTTATGGCAAGCGGAGAGGAAGTGGCTCTCCATGCAGGACCAGGTCCTGACTTGACAACACGTTTTCGGTTCCTCAGGAGCTCACCTTTCTGTCCGAAGCCATTCTGATCCAGCCCCCTATACCCTTCGTCGGAAGACAGCTGTGTCGTTTGCACCACACGTAGCGATATGCCGAGTAGCTAGCAACTTCCTAGTATTCGCAGGAATCTTCCGATGCGGGAAGAAAGGGCCAGAGCCACCCACCGTTTAGTCGTCCCGGCCATCTTGCGCTGTCCCAACACGCCATTTTGAATCGGTGTCCTCGCACTCTAACAGCCGAACCTCAGTGCAAGGAAGGGTCATTTGCCATGTGCTGTCGTGTGCTGTCCATCAGCGCCTGTGTCCCCCAAAGGTCACCAGGAAGAAAATCAACTTTCTGCCATTTCCTGTTGGGACGGTGTCTACTGGGTGTCCTCCAGGACCCCGTGCACTGGTCGAGTACTTGCGTAGAGCACGAGCAAATTTGCTGGCGCTCGCATTTAAAACATATCTCACTGGCGCTCGCGGGAAAAGATTAGCTGACACACGGCAAGCTGAACGGCTCGCAGCCACAAGCTCCATCTGTTCTTAATATCGGCCAGACACTCCTTGACCAGATATCAGGTTACAGGTCAAGCACTCGACCTTAGCGTCATCAGAAGCTGTGGCTTGTTCCCCGATATGGCGCTGTGTAGAGGAAGCCCCTTAGCCCATTAACCGGCACGCTCCAAGCATAGACCACCGGCCCATCGGACTGGTAGCCCAAACCTCAGGCTCCACCATTCCCTCAAAGCAACTTAGCTTAACACCTCAACCCTAAACCCTAAACCCCTGAACACCTCATTGACCATTGTGTGGCATTGAGATACTGAGCCGAGACTTGCTTCGCATGGGCCCCAACTTCAACTAAAAACCAGACTTTGGCGCCGGGCCGCCGCAGATACGACATGGCTTCATTCAGCTCCCGAACAGGAACCACTTTAACCCGGGTATGGGCTGAGAAGCGGTGTCGCTGATTTCGATACAGCCAAATCAGGCGACGTACCTGACGCAATCGCTGCAGAACGCGCTGAGGCTTGCGTGCATCCAAGTCTCCTGTCGATACTAGGCTAAGTGCAGGAATCTTTGGATAACCAACCTTCCTACTTTTGAGATCTATTAGAGTGGCAGTGGTTTGGCACACATGCACTTCGAAAGAACTATAATTTGGCCTGCCGATGCAACCAGCAGTACTGGCGAGCATGTGCCAACGGATGCCACCGCGAGACCCGGAAACTGAAATGTCTGCAGGCTCCCGCACAATCCGCAACCAGTGGCGCGCTCAGCTCTCTTTTGGTGCTCCATGGTGCTCTTATCCGAAGCCTCAGATTATAAAGTCTGAAGCAGATTTTTTTGGGCCCTGTAGAGTGGCCCAAGCCCCCATGCAGAAGAGCCTCTCCTTGAGAGGCACCATGGGCTTCCTCGACTGATCAACGGCGCTGACTTTTAAGACCCTCCGTCAGTTCTCCAAGTTGACGGGCTTAGGGCCTTAGGGTTTAGGGTTTAGGGTTTAGGGTGGCTATAAAGCGTTCAGAATCAGTGGCAGGGAAACATGTTGACACTCATCATTGGCCACGGCGCCCGGTACCGCTCCGTAGGCAAGCACTTACTCTCCGAGGAACTGCGAGAAGATGTGTTGCTAGATCAAGTTCGCACCATGTTTTTTTAGTATCGCGTTTCTTCGCGGTGACTAGATCTAGCTGGCATGTGCTGCTGCCCAGATCCCCGCAAAGCCCTTGTCGCTGGGGGCATGTGGGCATAGTTTTGACTGGCATTCGAATGCCGGATATTTCGTTGATTTTTACAACCGGTTCACGTTAGCAATGGTTCGTGCGAATCGATGCTTTCGTGAAAAGATCCGCAGGCCTTGTGTTTATGTGCAGGCTAGGGGGCACAACGCGAGGAGGGCCGAAAAGCAAGCCAGCGTTTGCCTCTACAGTTCTCTTGTGTGCCTCTGCTTCGAGGAAATCAAGCGGCAGACCTACAGGTCGAATGTTCAACGCCACCCTGCGGATTCAGTTATTGAAGTGTTAGAGTATGTGAATAGCGTGCAGTTGACAACTGCTCGGTTATCCGCATTGATCAATGCGCGTAGTGTAGAGGGCCATGGGCACGGCGTCTGCAGCTGAAGCCACCGAAAACCACAGGCGACTGGTAGGATTCGATCTCAGATTGATTGAAAGAGTTGGGGCCATCATCTTGTGCAGCTACCATCACACAGCATCTTAATTACGTTCTAACGGCAGAGTTCGCTATAGGCTCTTCGAAGTTTGTCGTGTCTCCCTGGTCCCATCGAGTCGGTGAGCCCCGGGGCTTTTAGGCACTTAAAAGGGTTTAGGGTTTAGAAGGCTTAGGGTTTAGGGATCAAAAAAGCCGAGAATGGATGCAGGTGGCTTCTTTTTTCGTTGCGCGCTGGCCCCTTCCGAGTGTTCAACCTCTGCCTGCGCCGACACTCTTTGAAATGGAGAAGCGAAGGCAACGTGAGCAAGGAGCGAGCCACCATGAATTGCTGTGGCACATGGGGGGAGATGCGTCCTCATGGATATATATTTATATATATATATATATATATTACATATATTCTATATATATATATATATATATGTATATATGATCTGTTTATACTCATGCACGCAACTCCGGGACTGTCAGGGTTTCGGGTTTATAGGGGCGGCTCCTAAGAGTTGTCAGGAGAGTTTCGACAGCTTGACGGATCTGGAACTCGGGCGTCCAGTTGCAACGAGAGCCCTGCCGCAATGCAACCGTAAGCGCTGTGCGTCGACCGCCTCGGCCCGAAGATCTCGGTCTAGGGTTTAGGGTTTAGGGTTTAGGGTTTAGGGTTTAGGGTTTAGGGTTTAGGGTTTAGGGACAGGAAGCTCAATCTTGTAAGGACTAAAGGGATTTCTGTGGGGTCCCCGGGATGGGGGATCAGGAAACGACGGACTTCGGCGGCCGGGGTCAACATTCATAGGTACACTTTGTTCTGCTGTGGGAAAGGGTGGAGATTTTGAACTTTCAGAGATCAGCCTCGCACAAGCCTGTTCCTGGTCGCGTGCAGATCTGTGCTTCGGGTGCGGCATGGCCGCGTTCTGCCAGAGTGGTCTAGATGCTGTGACGTGCGATGGGGGGGGTGGTTGTTGAATACCCAGAGACTCCAATATCCCTTAATTAAGGAATGTATCTTCAAATATAGTAAGACCCCTAATATGATTTAAGGCGTATTCCTCAATTAAGGGGCAATTGGAGTCTTTGGGGACAGTCTGAAGTCTGAGCAGCGCCACCTTCAGGTCGCACCACAGAGCAGGGTGCTGAGAACCTGTCAGAGAAGAGCGTCGACGCAGAGCAGCCGTTCGCCACAACCTACGTCAAGGACCACCAGTGAGTCAGCTCATGCCAGCTCCATCCCTGCGTCAGCACATGGGCTGGGAATGATTCTACTGAAGGTTAAGAATAGTGTTTCATGGCGGCCCTTCGTCGCAGCCTTTGGTAGGGTCTTGACATATTTCGAGCACTCCGAATGCGCTATGAAAGAGGGATTTTCCAGCAGCCCATACTCGTATCAGCATAAACCCCCTGTACAAAGTCATCGACCTCGTTGCGGAAGAGCACGCTGTTTGAGCTGCGTCACAGCCACCGTTTGGAGAAATTAAGTGATACCTTTCCCAAATCTGAAGTGACTGACACACTCGCGCCATATCATTTTCAATCTGCTGTTTGGATCACACAGGGCTCAGTCGTTAACCAAGCTTCTTTTGTTGGCAGATTTGGGGTGTCAAATCTCGACGTGTTCAGAATGCTTTAAGCTTGGCACGGCTCTGAGGCCCGCATTCTTGGGTTGCACTGAAATTATGCACCCCATGCCTCGAAAACCTCAGAAGCAACTTCATGAACGGACAAAAAAACAAAGTGCAGGATGCGCCGGCTGTGGCCAGTGAGGACATCGAGCTCGAGAGCGCTGTGCGGGAACTCTCCTGTAAGACAGCCCGGGGGCCCTGATGAGCTGTTCTTTGCTCTTCATGTCAGGCTTGGGGCTTCGGGGCTTTAGGAAGCCCAGCTCAAGAGACCTCAGGGGTTTAGGGTTTAAGGTTTAGGGCTCAGGGGGTGGAAAAAAATATTCTTACAGGGCTTCAGGTTCTGTCCGGCGAGATGACATGTCGGGGCTGGCGATTTGGCTTTAGGACTCGGTCAGCAGTCGTGAAGTCCATTACCCCCTCAAGTTGATTCGCGGATGCGCTTCCCCATCTCCGAAGTTAAGGGGCTGGATCTTGCCAAGGCCGTCTTGCTATACTTGCCGTTGGTTAAAGTTAGGAGGGAATAGAGTGAATGAGGTACCCTATATCTCCCTATATGTACCCTTTGAGGGAGTATATGGTGTGCCTCATTCCCTCATTCCCTACTAACCAACAGTAGGGTTGTGCGCTTCTTTGGGTGCCTCAGTAAACTGAATTTGGAGCTGGTGGATCGTGAGAAAGTTGATGTAAGTTGGCTGGTACGAGTATACAGACATGTCACATGTGAGAGGAAGAAAGGAAGAAAGTACATATATTGTGAGCATCTCAATCCAAGCAGCCTCGCAGTTTTGCCGCTTCGCCAAGGACCTCCTCTCACGGCTACGTGAGTCAGCGGCAGCCTGGCAGAAGCGCAGTGTCCACACCAGCTGTCATGTTGATCCGAATAGGCAGAACGTGTACAATCACCGCAGTGCGAGTTGAAGCGTCAAAACCTCCATCTGATCCAAACGGCCATATGGGCTTAAGCCAAGTGTTCTCGTGGCGAAGGTCTGCGGCCAAGCTTGAATGACTGCGAAACTTGTGGTGTTGCCCTATGCCGGACACCTCCCTGGCTGCACGCGCAGCCTAGCCGGGCTTGCCCCGGCTGGCTGGGACATTGCGGAGCTGGTCTTCCCAGGTCATGGAGACAATCAGACGCCGATCTCTGATGTGGGGCTTCTCTCGGCAAAGCTTGCACAGGATGTGACAGCCATGGTGGATGGGGTGCCATATGCTTTGTTTGGGCACAGCTTTGGAGCACTGATGGCAGCGGAGGTGCTCAATCATCTTGTGGCAAAGGGATTCCCACCGCCTGTGCACGTCTTCCTCTCTGGCCTGGCGTGCCCAGAGAAGCTGGCACAGCAGGACTACGCAGACTTGACCAACCTCACAGATGCAGAGATGCTGAAGTCATTGGCCAAGGAAGGCTTTGTTGATGAACTGCTGCCCCAGGACTTTGCCACGTTCGTCGCTCCTGCTCTTCGTGCGGACTACACTGCCTTGGCACAATACGCTTCAGAAGTACGGCAGGGGATCCGGCCCACCTATGTGCCACCGAACAGCATTCCCACGTCGACCTGGGCCGGTGACGCAGACCCCTGGGCCTCGGAGGCCAGCATGTGTGGCTGGGGTGCATCGGTTCATGAGGTGGTTCCAGGTGGACACCAATACCTCAAGAGCACAGAAGGCGCCCAGATTCTTATGTGCAAAGTGGGCAAGATCCTTGCTCCGTCCCAGTTAGTGGGCTCGGCCTTGCGGCACCAATCCTTTCCTGAACCCATCCAAGATCTTCCAAACGGCCAGCAAGCACAAGAATCACAGGAGGCCTGGCGGTTTGCGAAAATTATAGGGGTACCTTATTGAGGTCTCCTTTCCGGGATCCTACTATTTGGAGGGTCATTACATTCGGGGTCCCCCCTACTTTCTCGTAAACTCCCGGGGAAGTGCAAAGGAGCATCTTGAGACGGTGATCTCTCGCTTCCACAAGGTTGCTGCAGCTCGGGGGGATGGCTTGGCCATCCTTACAGAAGCTTAGTAGAGTTAGTAGAGTAGGTGACCTTTTATAAGTAATGGAATCACCTTATACTCACCTTAGTAGTAGAGTAGGTGACCTTGTATAACCTTTTTGGGGTCATAGAATCACCTTATACTCACCTTGGTAGTAAGGTAGGTGACCTTTTATAACTTTTTTGGGGCAATAGAATCACCTTATACTCCAAGAAAGGTTAACCTTTAGTTCCCCTAGGTACTGGACAACTAAGGAAGAGTCCACCATGACCTATGCGCAGATGGAAGACAAAGTGCAGAGGCTGGGCTACTTTCTTCATGGTCGTGGAGTTCAGCGTGGTGACCCGGTGCCCTTGGCGATGCCCGGCTGCGCTGCATTCTGTGTCGCCATGCTAGGTGTGCAGGAGGCCGGCGGCGCTTATCTCGAGCTTGCGCAGACACTGGCACCGAATCAGTCCATGGACGTGCTGAACCGCCTCTCGGCCCTGCGGAACCACCGCTTGCTACTGCTTCTGGGCCCAGAAGGTGCTCAAGGCACGCAAGTCCCCGTGGAGAAGCTGGGAGATGCCTACGAAGTTCACACTTTGGATGATACTGGCGAGTTGCTGGAGTGCAGAGACCTGGGCTTGCCAAAGCCAGTACTGCCAGATCTTTCCCCCAGTGATACCTACATGTATGCCTTGACTTCGGGTACCACAGGGCGCAGCAAGATCGTGGTGCAACTGCATGGTTCCATGCTATTGTCGCAAGATGCCAGGCAGAGACGGTTCCCCATTGAGCCAGGACAAGCTGAGGCTGCCATGGTGTTCTTCCTTTGGAGCGCATACCCGGTTTTCACCGTTGGCAGCATCTGCGTCATACTTCCTCGTCAAGCGGTTGTGGACCCACGCGTCTTCTTCCAGTGGGCTGACAACAAGAACATCCATCGCGCTCTCCTGACACCATCGGTAGCTGACATGCTAACATCGTCACAGTGTGTTGCCAAGAGCATCACCCATATTCAGCTCACTGGCGAGCCCGTGCGCGCTGGCCTCGTGCGGCGCCTGAGAACTTGCTTCCCCAATGCCGTCTTGGAAAATGCCTACAGCCTCAATGAGACCGGCTACGTCGCCACACAGCTCGTCGCATCACCAAGCCAGGGCCTAGATCCTGCAATCAGCGACACTGCTTTTGTGGGATGCGGTGATTCGGTTCTTCCGCATGCAGCTATCGTGATCAAGGTCGGCGATCGGATTGCTTCTGAGGGAGAGGTCGGCGAGATCCACATTGGTGGCTTTTCCGTGGGAGCGGGCTATGCCGGAGATGATGCAGCAACCCGCAAGTCCTTCTACAACGGCCCTGACCAGCCGTGGTGTTCCAGAGCCTTTGCTTGGTTCACGCCGGGTGATATGGGCTGCATTCGTGGAGGAGTTCTCGAGGTGCACGGCAGAACTCAGGACAATCTCCGAGTCCGGGGCTTTTCCCTCCCTGTCACAGCAATCATTGAGGTCCTCCAAACACACCCTGACGTCTCCAAGGCAGTGCTGGCCGTGGAAGATTCGAAGCTCATTGCCTTTGTGGTGTCCGACCGTGAGGTGCCGCGCGCAGACTTAGTTCAGAAAATCCAGGCCGCTGGGCTGCCAAATTATGCCATTCCGAACAGGATCGTGGCTGTGCAAGCCCTGCCCCTGGAGCCGACAAGCTTGAAGCTGGACATGAAGGCCCTGTTAGCCATGGCAGTGAGAAGTGCTGACGCTGCTGCTGATTCTGGATTGCAGGACCTGCTTGATCGCGCAAGTGCTCGCAGTGAGAGCCTCAAAGAGGCCGTGCAAGCTTTGGCTGAGGCTTGGGGTCGCCTCTTAGCACCTCCAACCTTGGACTCAGACTTCTTGACCGATGGTGGCCACTCTTTGCTGGCCTTCCGCCTTCTCCGCGAGGCGCAGGACCACGCGAGCCAGGCAGCGTTGCGGCACCTGGAGGTCCTGGAAGTCCAGCATGTTTTCAGGCTCCGCACCTTCAAGCAGCTGGCAGAGCATATGTTTACCACCGAGCCTAAGGAGAAAGAGAAGCAGGAAGCCAGGTTGGAGCGTGATCCCGATGTGCCAGTGATGGCAGGGAAGCAGGCGACGCATCGCCAAGCTCTTGTGGCAGGGGCCAGCTGTCGCCTTCCAGCCGTACCAGACCTCGAATCCTTCTGGGACTTGCTCAAGAAAGCAGGGGAGAACTGCCGCACGGCTTCTGAATCCGAGCTGCTGGAGTGGTGGAGTGCTGATGACCTCAAGGACACCTCCATGGTCCGATGTCAAGCAGCCTTCAGTGACAAAGAGCTCTTTGCCTTCGATGCGTCCTTCTTTGGTCAGACTGGCTTGGAGTCGGAGCTGATGGATCCCCAGCACCGTCTCTGGCTTATGTGTCTTGGTGGCCCTGTGGTGCCCTTTATACCCTTCTTTTTGGTTATGGGTTTCCCTTAAAGGGTGCCCTTATTACAATATGGGTACTGGGCGACCAAGGTGTGCTTACCATGCATTGGAAGACGCCGGGCTGGCGCCACGGACGGCCTCGGGAGCCGGCGCAAGCCGATGCCCAGAGTCCACGGGAGTTTTTGTGAGCACTTGGTACAGCGGCTACTTGCTCCACCATCTCCGTGGGGGGCCACTCCACTTCCATCAGCGAAGTCCAGACCAGCAGCTGCTTACAGAGGTTGGGAACTTCCCAGACTACCTGGCCTCCAAGGCAGCTTTTGCCTTCAACTTCCGAGGCCCGGCCGTGGGCATCCAGGCCTCCTGCTCCAGCGGCTTGGCCGTGGCCCATGCGGCCATCAGCTCGTTGCGGAGCAAGCAATCCGACAGCTCCGACATGGCCCTGGCAGGGAGCTCCTCCATCGTTTGGCCCAGGCTCGCTTATGTCTACCAGGACGGCTACATCTTCTCCAAGGATGGCCGTGTGCGGTCCTTCGATGCCAAGGCTGGTGGCACCGCGTACTCAGATGGAGTCGGCTGCGTGGTGCTGCGACGCTCAGAGCCCATGCATGGGCCGGAATCCTCGGAAGTCATGCCGCGGGCAGTGGTTCAAGGCATTGCCATGAACAACGACGGCCGTTCGAAGCAGAGCTTTGCAGCGCTTTCAGTGGATGGCATCATGATGGCCATGCGTGCGGCTCTGCACGATTCCGGGAGAAGCCTGGAGGAGGTTGCGTTTGTGGAATGCCATGCCATGGGCACTGCAGCGGGTGACCCCATTGAAGTGGAGGCCGTGAAGCTAGCACTGGCTCAGCGCCGCAAGGCACCTTTGTTCCTGACCTGCGCCAAGACCAGTGTCGGACATGCAAATGCTGCAGCCGGGATGGTGGCCTTGCTGAAGACATGCCTTTGCTTGGAGCATCAGCAGCTACCACCTCTTGCGAATTTCTGTGCAATCAACCCGAAGCTCGAGATAGATGGCCTCCAGATACCCACTACCTTGGTGACACTGCATCCGGCTGCAACAGCCATTGTGAATTCCCTTGGGGTGGGTGGCACTAACGTCGCAGCCCTGGTAGCCCCTTTCAGGGCAGATGAGCAAGGAGGACAAGCAGAATCGGAAAGAATGCCGCAGGAGGTGTGCATCCTCACCGTCTCTGCGAGAGAATCCTCAGCCTTGGCCACCACTGCTGCACGCCTGGCAGAGAAGCTGGAAAAGGGGGCCGATCTTCGTGGACTTGAGGAGGCACTGATGCTAGCACGTGAAGTCCATCCTTTGCGCGCCGCTGTGTCTGCCTCTGACCCAACCACAGCAGCACGACTCTTGCGGCAGGTGACGTGCACGGACAGCTTGCAGCCAGGTGCTCTTGTTCTGGTCTTCCCAGGAATAGGGTCGCAACATGCACATATGGGTCAGAAGCTCGCAGAAGAATGCCCGGTCTTCGCATCGGTGTTCCATGCCTGCCTGGAGGAATGTGAATGCAAGGCCGACTGCCACACTCTCCACTCCATGGAAGCTGTGCATGCAAGCATCTTCTCCTTCCAAGTTGCCCTATGGACGGTGCTGGAGCGGATGGGATTGGCTCCGTCATTGCTGTTGCCGCATTCGTTGGGGCTCTTCGCTGCTTTAGTCGTGGCCGGCGCGCTTTCTCGCAGGGATGCGGCCAAGCTTGTGGCCTTGCGAGGACGCCTGATCGATGAGCATGCCCCCTCCGGTTGCTTGCTGGCAGTGCGTGGCCTCACCCAGTGCCAACTACAGAATGTCATTGACAAGCAAGATGGCAATGAGAGTCTGTCCATCGCTGTGCACAACGGGCCAGAGGACATTGTTGTATCCGGGAAACAGGTGCCAGTCGAGATTCTTTCGCAACAGCTGAAGCGGGAAGGAGTGCAAACAAGCTTCTTAGATACAAGGTTCGCAGTGCAAAGCTTGCAGCTGCAGCGTGCCGCCGAGCAGTTGGAGCTCGCTGCCTCACAGTGCGAGTTTCAAGCAATTCGGGAGCCCATGCTGTGCAACATCACCGGCCAGCGGCTGCAGAGAGTTGATGCCAGGTATCTCTCGCAGCACATGCTGTCACCTGTGCGTTTCGATCTCAACATGCATGCAGTTGCCCCTCAGTCCCTGGTGTTGGAAGTGGGGCCACAGCAGCAGCTCCAGGGAATACTGTGCAGGGGGCTTGCTGGCCGGGGCTGCAAGGTCATGCCGCTTCAGCCCAAGCGGGAGCCTGAACATGGTGCAGGCCGGGAGCTGGAGTTTCTGGCTTCGGCTGTTGGCAAGCTCTGGAGTGGACAGCTGCCGGGGCTGCAAATCCACAAATGGCCTTCGCTCTTCTCAGATGGCAACAAACAAACTCAGAAGAATTGGCTGCTTCGCTTGCCACATTATGCGTTCGTGCAGCACCAGTTTCGTGCCCCTCGTGTAGAGGAGCTGGCCGGCAAAGCGCCAGATGACATCCACGGTTTTGACCTCAGCCTCGTGGCCTCCCATGCGCTTGGAGGTTTGCGCTCCTTTCTTGGCACTGCCCTTCTGGTGATTCAGGGCAAGGCGTCCTCGCCAAACTTGCACCAAGTTCTCCAGGACGTATGCTGCCAGCATGCGCTGTGCGGTGTCACCGCGCTGGGCATCGCCATTGGTGGAGAATCCCTGGTACGAGCAGGCCTTCGACTCAAGAGTGTTTCCCAATCCGGCGCCAGCTCTGCACCCTTCCGGGTCCTTGGCATGGCGTACTCCTGGCTTACCCTGGCACAGCTCTCCCAGAGCTGGGGCTTACGCTCCCTTCCCCTCACCCGGATGGGGCTGATCCTCACGCTTCACCTTCTCCCAGCGCAGCGGACGCGGCTTCTTCTGGCCCTCCTCGGCGCCGCTTTGGCGGCCTACCGCCGCCGCCTTTTGGCTTGGCCTCTGGTCTTCTGGCTTGGCGCCGGCAGCGAGCTCCACTGGGAAATCAAGAAGAGCTTTCGCCGAGGAGTGGGGGCAGCCTTGGTCAGGCTCTTCTTGGCCGTGAGAGGTGGCACAGAACTACAGAGCTCCAGGGAACTCGGGGAAACTCCTGCAAAAACCACGGAAGTGGTCTTTCCCAAGCAGGACATGGGCCTGGCGCTGGAGACCTTCCAGACCGAGGAGCTTGACGACGATAAGCTACGAGTCCATGGAGTCCCTGCCATGCCCCAGGCTCTCCCGCCCTTCGAGCGCGCAGCGCTGCAGGCAGGGAGGGCTTATTTGTTTTGTACTATGTTTTTGCTCCTGTGTTCCACACATCATACATCACTGTGTGGAGTTCTTTGGTCTTTTTTGCCTGCCCCGCGCCCGCACCCGCCCCCGCACCAGCCCGCACCCGCAGAAACACCTTGCGCATGCCACATGCACGACAGATACCGAGACATCGCACCACATACGCCACACCCCGCAAATACGTGCAACATACATCCACGTCACAGCGACACACATGTCACATGCACCACACGCACCACACATTCTGGCCACGACCCCCTGGGTTGCCAGATGAAAGCCAAATTCAACCTCTTCTGGCCCAAGTCCCCCCTTCTCGAACCGAGAAGCTGGGTTTGGGCTAGATGAAGCTAAATTCAACCACTTCTGGCCCAAGACCCCCCCTTCTCGAACCGAGATTCAACCTCTTCTGGCCCAAGCCCCCCCTTCTCAAAGCTAAATTCCAACACTTCTGGCCCAAACCCCCTTTCTCGAACCGAAAACCTGGGTTTGGATGGATGAAGCTACTCATCTACGAGGGCCGTGTTTGCAAATGGGTGCCCCCTATCATGCAAGCATTGTTTTTGCAAGCGAAGAACAGATGCTTCTGCAAGACTTATATGAGCATTGAGTCTTAAAATTGGGGGGGGGGGGGGGGGGGCGCGTTGTAGACTCTGTAGACGTCGTGCGAACTTTTAGCTCGATTGAAACACCCCGATCGAACAGTTAAAGGCAGTAAAAGCCCACAACAAGTTATATCCGAATACAAAACCAAACGAATAGCAAGCATCAACAAAAATAGTGAAGCTAAAAGAATTCTACTAATCATCTTGCAGTTAATTATGGAGTTTCGGGTTTCGGGTGGAGGCCTTTAAAGAGAAATTGCTTCAAACAGCATGCGGGCCGTTTGGAAGACAGCATTGCAATACTGAGATTTTCATAGTAGAATCCCGATCATGATATGGAGGTTTTCGCAGAAAAAAGGGGGATAGCAGATAATAGAGAATGTAAAGAACCTAGAGGTTATCTTACGTCTAATTAGAGGTTTGGCTCAACAGATTGAATAAACAGAATAGAAAACAGGGGAAACCCTGGTTTCGTGAAAAGATATAGCAAATAGAACAAACTAGAGACAAAACAGACATGTCCCTTGAACTGTAGACAAGTACATAAATGGAGGGCTCCTGGCAAACTCCGATGTAAGGATGCAACTGCAGAAATTGTGAAGTAAGAGATAGGCTTTTCCAATTAACAGATAGTGTAAATAGAACAAACTCAGAGGAAATGGAGGCCTTACTATGAAATGGCAGAGCAAGCTGAAGAAAAGATAGCCGAAATGGAGTGGGAGGTTTTCCTATTAATTTGTATAGAAGTGAAGTGAACCGACCCCCCCACCCCCCCGCCCCCCCGCCCCCACAAAGAAAATAAGTGCACCCCAGAAGGCACATACCCAACGAATTCTCCGCCCTACAGGCAGTCCAGCGCATCCTTCCCATGAGCAGCTGCAACGACCCGCTGACGGGGGTGGATAGCCTACGGGCCGGCTGGCTTGCAAGCGCCTTCCAGCAACACCTCGGCAAGCAGGTAGGCATCGATGCGATACGCAGTGCTGACACGGTGGGGGAGTTGCTGCAGCTGGTCAAGGCAGCTCCAGCTGCAAACTCGACTATCTGCCCAGCTCCAGCAGGGGAGTACGCAGTTTTCTTCAAGTCGAGCCATCACCGTCCTATGCCACCTTGGTTGGCACGAAGTGATGCTCCGGTGGATGCTGCTCTCTTACGCCGTGCAGTAAAGGAGCTGGTCGACCGTCAGCCAGCCCTGCGACTACAAAATGCAGATCCCCTCGCTCTCCGCAGCTTCGTGCGCAGGACGGCCTCACTGCTCAGCGCTGCGATAGAAGATCGGCGCCATGCGCCGATGCTCTCGTCACTGCTCGGCTGGGCGCTCTTCCGCTGCTGGCCGCGAGTGGCTCTAGATCCGCTCGATGGGCCACAGCCTTCACAGCGGCCGCGCGACCCTCTGGACCAGGATGACAAAGTCCCTTTCAAGGTCTTGGATGTCCACGGCCAAGAAGACCTTGAGCAGCAGTTGCAGGGTCGCTGGCAGTGGTGGCTGCAACCGCCGTTTGAGGTCTGGCTGCTGCGGCTTACGGTTGCATTGGAAGGTGTGTGGGAATGCCAGGGCCGAGAACTTTCCATCCTCCGAGAGGGTGGTGACTTGGTTTACGTTGACCCCTTGCATGGGCGGGCCGTGCTGCGTGCGCCCGAGGACCCCTTGAGTCCGGGACCTCCACTGCTGCCGGAGCAGAAAAGTTTTCGTGTGCTCTTGGCCGGGCGACTCGGAGCAGGGGCCGTGTGGCTGCGGATCCCTACTCCAGGGTGCATGCAGGTGTGCTTGCAGTCTGCACCTGGAGCAGAACTGCTTGTTAGAGAAGCCCGACGGGCTCCTCAAGCTGGCGACAGACTCGACACCATGAACTTCGTCTTGTTCCACATCCTCCACTCGGTTTCGGATGGCTTCTGTTTCTCACCTCTCGCCTCAGACCTTTTCGATGCCTACCAGGCTCTGAGCGACAAGTCCTGCGAGATGCCAACCCCCAAGAACAAAGTGCTGAGCATTTTGCAGAATCGCTTGAAGGAGACTCTGTTCTTTCGATCGGAAGATCCATCTCGCCCATCCCTCCGCGGGAATCTTTGGGGCAGGCCCTTCAGATGCTTCTACGGCAATGTCTTGGTGCAAGGAGAAACCCTTGTGGTGCTCAAGGCAGCGGCCCAGCACCACGGTGTGCCACTGAACTATCTTTTCCTGGCCCTGGTGACGGCTGCAATAGCTCGAGCCAGTGCTTCTTCGGATGTGGAGTTGACGCTCTATGCCCCCTTGCGAGATGGTCTGGAAGCTGGAATGGTTGGACTTTTCATGGATTGGCGCGACATCGTCGTGCCGACGAAAGGGGAAGACAGCACCACTCTCGGCGTGTTGCAGGATTTGACCGACATCCTAAGGATGCAACGTTGGACCGTGTACAATGCTCGCCGAAAGGCAGAACAGATCGTGGTGAACGTCGACTTTCTAGATGAGCGCCGCTTTGGAGCTGGTTTTCGCCAGGTCCCTGAGGCTTTCTGGACCCAGCCCTCTGGACAAGCATACGGCAGTGAATGGGAGTTTTTGGACCACCCCCTGGAGTTTGACATCAATGAGGAGCACCGAAACCGTTGGGCTGTGCATTTCTGGGCCTCAAACGAGCTGTACCCATCCAGCTGGCGCCATCGCTTTCTTCAAGCGTTCGAGGAGGCGGCCCGGGGTCTGGCTCTCCAAGCCAGGAATGGGCACGAGGCGCCGGGGGTAGGACCTGACATCTTGAACTTGGAGCCTGAGAAGGAGCCAAACGCCTGGCAGAAAGCCGGGAGGGGGCCCCAATGAATGAAAGATTTCGGTGGGGAGTGTGTTTTAAGCAAGGGCCCCCTTGTGGTGATGATCCTGAGGCAGCACAGCTGCGAGCATGTTCAGGAATCTTCAGGAGCTCACCTGTGCCAGGCACGCTGGTGGTGAGGGCGCCAGGCTTAGCCCTGGCACCCCGCCCCATTTTAAGGGGCCCGTATTCCGCATAGCTACGGGTACCCAGATGTCAGAGCAGCTGCTCGGCCCTTTAAGCATACTGCCTCCAGAAGTAGGCTTGGTGGAGTGTTGTGTTTCTGTGTTATGTCAGTACTGATAAACTTGGGAGCCGCAGTGAGGAAGCCCTTGATGTACTTTGAAAGGCGGGCGCTGGAAACTTTGTGTGAGTGACCCCTGGACCTGGCAAAGCCGCCAATGGCGGCTGGACTCGGTCCCGTGTTTAAAGAAGAGGTCTTGGGATGTTCCCCCTTATTACACCAACATTCAATAGGGTTTAGGGTCCAGGGTTTAGGGTTTAGGGTTTAGGGTATTTAGGGTTTAGGGTAGGGGTTATAGTACCCCCCAATGATCATCCCGATTGAGGACTGTTAGAACAAGGGGGAACATCCCAAAAGCATGTCTCCAGTCAGCCTGTGGTGGTGTAGGTTTTTTTATCAGAACAAAAAGTGCCCATGTGGAAGCTGCTCTATGCCTGAAGAAATGGACGTATGCCATCACGGTGTTTCGCACGTTTCGGTACCACGAGGACCGATGTTTTAATCTTTGTGAATTGGGATCCCCGACCAGAATCTTCCTCCACTGGACGACGTACAGGGGTGTTTATTTCTTGGTTGAAGGCAGGGGGATGCAGGGGGCTGTCTATTGAAAATGGGGCACGTAGTTGGCAGACGTCGCCTAGTTTGCACGCGTCGGTCCAATTCGTGATGGCCATGCTGCGCCCTAAATCAGGGATAATCAGGGCCATGCAGAAATGTCTCTTGCACTTGCAGGCATGTAGTCGCGTTTGGTTATGCTCATGTTGCACCAGACATACTGATTTGCAAGAGTCTGAGCCGAGTGCATTCTACCAGTCCTTTCCCCACAATTTGTCCCCGCGGAGTGGCCAACGTCAACGAAGCGGGTGGCAAAGGAAAAAGCATCCGAGGGGGCGGCTACGAGCGCCATGTTCGGCGAGAAACGCGGGCGCAGGATCAAAAAGCGCCATGACTGGGGCTCCACTCGGGGCTGCGCGACTGGCGAGTTGGTGATTGCTCATGCTCAACCCAAGCTGACCCTAAACCCTAAACCCTAAACCCTTCTCAGGAGACGGTGCTGGGAGAGCTGGAGGTGCTGACAAGGATCTGGGAAAGCCAGGCCATGCTGAGGCGGGCCAAGACCTTCAAGCCCTCGCCGGCTGAGGCGGCTGAGGCTGAGGCTGTCGACTCTTGGAGAGTTCAGACGTGATACTTGTATGTATAGGGGTACCTTATTGTAGCTTTAGATCCTTACCTTTTTTGGGTTTTGTTGGGTTTCTTATGAAGGCAGCCAAAAGTCTAATTTATAGCTACCCTCCTGAGTGCAGCCAAGAGATGTGATATGTAGGGGCACCTTATTGGGGTTCAATATAAGATAATATCAGGGAATCCTACTATTTGGGGGTCTATATGCGGATGTGTCTCTTCACGGTGCTGGTATTTCTTGGCCCGGGTCTTCATCTACCTTTAACCTTTAACTAGTTCGCAAGCCGAAAGCCTTTTGCAACAGAATCTCACCAGTCTGCAGTTCCCAGGACCGCAACTTGCAGCGGAGGTCTGCCTTCGAGTCGCGCTTGCGCTCGGCAATGGGCTCTTGCGATCTCAGCCAGGAGGGCTACAGTTGGATGCGCGTGTTGAAGGGATTGGAGAAGAGTCGATAAGGAACAATTAAAATGCGGGGGTGTTTTTCCCAATGAGAATGCATGAGCTGTGCCTTAAAACGTTTGAAGCAGGAGAAAAGCTGCAACGTATCCAAAACAATCTCAACAAGGCTTCGACCAAGGGCATCGCTCTCTCTCTCTCTGTGCGTCTGTGTGTCTATCTGTTTGACTGTCTGACTGTCTGTTTGTCTGTCTGTCTGTCTGTGTGTGTGTGTGAGCGTGTGCGTGCGATTGCGTGCCTATGTGCGTGCGTGTACGTCTTGTCGGCGAGTCCCGAGACGGAGCCGTGTAAGGCACAGGGCACTGTCCCTTCAGAGGCAGGGATTACGCAGGGCTCTTTTGCAAAAGCGTCCTGATGAATGTTGTAAAGGAAAAAGGCGCATGCGGCCAGGAGTCGTATAACCAGATCCAGGAGGTCCTGCAGCAGCCCGAGGCAAGTGAGTTCCTTAACGCTGCCACCATGGTCGCCACGGAGGACGGAGAGGGGCCTGAGAGGCTGCGGTGTCCTTGCGGCTTGCGTGTGCTCAGCTGCTACTAGCACTGTAGCTGACAGCTTTGTTGTTGAGGAGTTCTGCACGACATTCTCAGACTGCCTGGAACAGGACCGACGGGACAGTTCATGAATTTAACTCGTTTTGCAGGTGGACCTCAGGCATCAAGAACGTCAATTCTTTTGCCAGCTCGTCTGAAATTGCAGAACAGAGTGGAACCATTACAGTGGACAAAATAGTCGCAAGCACTATGGGTGTTTCTCAAGAAAGGGGTAGCCCTTGTATACCCCAAATAGAATAGAATCCCCTTTAAAGGGACCCCCCAAAAGGTTCCCCCTATTTTCGGAAACCCCCATATTTGGAATCCAAGCCCAGCACCTGATCACGTAAGATCATGTAAGTGCAGCCTCCAGGATGGAAAACGCGTGGCGCTGGCGAAGCTGCTGAAGTGCCCTGATCCGAGGTGCATACTGTACACTTGTCCTGCCAAAGCTGCATAAGCTCGGGAAGTCCTGCCGGAATACCTTGTCCGCTGCCCATGAAGCACTCCGCAACAAGCCAGCGCCCCAAACGCCTCCAATAGTCGCAGTCTGCATCCAGACAACTGTGACAGCCCTGGAATTTGACAGAGCCCCCCCCCCCCCCCCCCCCACATGGTCTCCCCCCTCCCGCCCCCCCCGCCTCGAGCCCTGACATCCCCGAGACTTGTTCCGAATACGTCGGGGTGCAAACCGATTCGAGCTTCTTAAAGGCAATCCAAGCAATGCCAAAAGTCCCTGACAGTAAGAGGAGTAGTAGGAAAACCATGCAATATTTCGCAAACAGCATTCCGAGATACTGTTACCAGAAGAAGACTAAGGGGATTAGGGGGAATTCCGAGATACTAGAAGAAGACTAAGGGGATTAGGTGAATTCCGAGATATGAGAAGAAGATGAAGGGGATTAGGGGGGAAACAGGCTTTTAATCGGGGTTAAGTTAAACAACCAGGACCGAGGACGAGAGGAACCAGGCTTCCGAACTCCTGGAGGCCGATGCGCTCAAGGGCCGGCCGGTGCCTTGAAGCCGCAAAGAGCTCTGACGGTTATTTCGGGCTTTGGAGTTCTTCTTCTTTCTTCTTTTTTGTTGGGGGGAGGTGGTTTTCTAGTTTATGTGATTTCTCTTGTTTGTTTTTTTTTGGGCGGCGGGGGAGGGGGGGGGGCCTTGTGATTCTGTGATACTTTAATTGTCCGTAGTTCTTTGGAACCAGGGTGTTTGCGGGTGAAGCTTTCTGAGGCCAGTTGATCGCATCCATATGACATGGCGGTGGAACTTGGGGCGGCTCCCAAAAACAAAACTATACACAAGCCATAGTCTTCGCGTAATCGGCCATTCTAGTAGGCCTACGGGCAGGCTACCCTACAACTCGTCGTGACAACTCAACGGTCAAGCTGCCAATACCCGGCAGCATAAGGGGGTCCTCTCAAGATGCCAAGACGCAGACGCGAATCTAGCCTTCAAAAAAGCTGAACACCCAAGGTTCTGGAGTTCAAAGTCCGGCGATCACTTGGATTACCAATGACGGTGCAATGGACCCCCGACCTGGGGCTTGGATCGTTGAAGCCTGGTGGTGCAAGCATGTTGTCGGCTTCGTGGGGCTTTTGGGGGTTTTTAGGGTTCAACACAGGGTGGTTTAGGGGATTTCGGAGCTTTGTGGCAGTCCCTCCTTACAAGAAAGAAGCGGGGGGGGGGGGGGGGGAGTAGGGGCTTCCGGGCGACGAGACGATGTTGGAGGCAGAGACCAGGTCTTCGAGGAGGGGCGGGGAGGTACATACGCCCACACATCTAGATACATACACATCTATACGCATTGCCTATAGATGGTCAGTTTGTGTACGCACTTCTATATACTTTGCAGATGCAGAGACCGACTACTTTTGACACACATACATCTACTCGTACAAGACTTACTTGGAGGTTCATGGGTACTGACAAACACAATTATGAGTTTAAGTCTACTTATAGCAGCCTACTTAGGGGACTAAACCCTAAACCCTAAACCCCAAACCCTAAAAGGTTTTTGTTGGGGTTAGAAGTACCCTCCAGGTAATGATCTATTATGCAGACCGCCAAGCCCAGGAAGGCGTCCGAGCCAGAGGCCGTGGTCTCCCCGCGCTTTGCCCACACAATACCCTCCAACTTGTCCGACATCTGAATGTTTCCTTTTTGGCAGCCGAAGCTGTTTCGGGTTTCGGGCTTAGGGTAGCAGCCTCATGAGCTTTGTGAACAAGAAGGTTGGTTTTGACCTTCAAATCGTCGGTTGTGAGTGGTCGTCAGGCAGCTTCAGGAATCTTCTTACCATGTGGCCCTACTCAGCACACTAGACCTACTAGCTTCGGCGCCATGCTGCTGGAGAAGCATCTCTCATGGCAGCGGAAAGACTCCATCATTTGGGCACCCAGAGGGCCCCCAAAGAGGAGAAGTGTGGAGGCATATGGAGGCATCCTCTCCGTAGAGAGGCCGCCGCCATGCTTTATCTCATGATAGTACTATATTATCACATGGAAAATATTCTTAAACAACAATGTGTTATCAATATAGTACTATTTTTGTATGTTCATATTCTTTTATTACCAGATTGGATGCATCATGTGGGATCATGTGGCTTTGCCGGTGCTCCGCCTTCTCCACAAAGGCCTCCTTGCAAAACCCTGTGCTGCCCTGTCCCTGGCATATCGAAGTCTCTGATGCCTGGGGCACCTAGCGAAGTGCCACTTTGCTGAAACCGGCAGTCCACGCGTGTGCAGCTTTGTGGCAGCGACATGCGGGCACCCACTCCAAGAGCTTGTGTTGTGAGAAGGAGGTATGTGAGACTCACGAGCCTCCATTGTTTTAACGTTTGAAGCTCGATAATGACAGTTTCTACTCAGGAAAACAGGCTGGATTCGATTGGAACTTGTCGAAACCACCCAGATTGAAAACAAAAAATGCACCCCGCAATGCCGGCAGCAACGCTTCTTATCATGCGGAAGGCACCGTTACTGGTAGCACGTGCTCTGGCCTGCTGCATCTTGGGATCTGCAGGGCCCCAACTTGGGGGCGTCCGAAATTAGGGGTACCTTCTTGGGGTCCTTATCATAAGGGGAATCCTGCAATTTTGGGAACTAGCTTAGGGGTCCCTCATTTTCGTCAAGTACTTGACCTGCCCGGAGTTTCGGCAGTTCCAATCTTTTGCGGACCTGGTAACTGATGTGCCTGTCTTGCACAAAGACCATCACTTCGCGTCGCTGATCTGTGATCAGAGAAATGCTGATGAAGACGAGTTCCCGGATGGGCTATTAGGCCTTAGAATCCCCATAATGAACCCTATAAAGGGCCTTTTTAAGGGATTATAGGGCATGATAGCCCATCCTGGTTTGGGGGCAGGCTTGGTCGCGAGCAAAGTCTTTTCTTAAAAGTGATGTTCATCGGACGTCGTGCAAAACAGCTGTAATGCATGGGGAGTGAAATTCCTGGCAGGAATGAATTGCATAACTGCACCCCCCCGAACTGAGCTTTATGGACAGTCCGTTGATTCAACCAAATTTGACGAAATACAGGTAACTTCGTACCTTCAGATTTCAATCACGGCTGTTCTGCGACGCTGCTGGCCAGAAGACGCCATGTGAGTTTGATTCAAGCTTCCCCCCACCCGTACCCCGCACGCAAAAAACTCAACGTGTTGATGCCGAAAGTATTTCTTTGCTTGAAAGTTCATTGGCCGTTATAAGTAGGGTTTTCGGTACCCTAAAAAAATAAGGTTGTAACCAGGCATAATGTTACAGTTACCTTACTTGTAGCCCCACCTCTACCTACCCATGAACCTCCGAGTAAGGTTTAGGGCATGCCGCCAGGCCTCAACATGCACCACAAACCATGATGTTTCGGATGTTCCTCCTTATACTAACAGTCCTTAGTAAGGATTATCATCGAACAGTCCCTAATATTGATTATAATCGGGGGTACGATTCAGGACTGTTAGTTTTTTGGGGGAACATCCCAAGATGATGTAGCCCGCCCGCCGATGCCATGGCAGGCCCTAACATCACAATGCCCAGGGAACTTCCAGCCGCCAACAATCCGCCAATCACCCTGCAGTTGGGAACCTTAAGATTCTTGGCTTGAACCCCAAAATTGGTGGTCATATATGCCCTATACAAAACAACAGAAGGTTCCTAGGTGCGCGAGCCACAAACGCTCGTAGGGGGTTCAATGTGGTCCCCAGGGCAAGATCCATTTCCAAGCCAGAGGTTCCCCCGCGTAAAATGGGGGGGGGGGGGGGGTCGGGGTAATTACTACTCGTATTCCCTTAGGGTCCCGTGATATTTGTACTATCATGAATCCCAAAGCCCTATTCACACCGTTTGTGCACCCCCCATAGGCGCTCTTGCAGAGATTGCCTGATTGAGAATCTTTTCGTTGCAAAACTTGATGTGGCGAGCTTCATGGCTCTGAATATTTAGGGGGTTGAAGGAAACTCGGCTCTTAATCTGAAAGTTCTCTGTCCTTTTTTAGAAAGAAGTGACAAAAATCAAGCGGTATCTGTGTAGTGACTTGGGGGGGGTTGTTAGGGGTTGCCATATAGGAACGACTCGCCCTGCCCCTCTATGCTTTCTCCTCTGTGCTGGTGTGTCGCCCTGCGGTGAAACTTCAGCCAGTGTGTGAGAGGCCATGCAGCGAACGCAGGACGCCGCCGCCTCAACAGGTACACGGGGACTTCATGCCCGCTTTTGAAAACAGACTTAGAGCTCTGACTGCTCAAAAGGCTCATCTTCTGTTCTTTGCGTGGCACGCGTATGGTCGCATAGCATTCAACACGCAATGTTGGTTTTGAGGTCCTTTTGTGTGCCTGGCTGTTTGCCTGCCTACCCCTCTCCCTCTCTCTCTCACCATGTTGCAGGAGGCTGCAGTGAAAGCGTTTCCGGTGCAAGAGAGCGGCTGATCCACGCGGTTGCCAACTGAGAAAGGATTGCCTTCTCATTATAGGGCCGAAAAGTATAATGGGCTCGGGCAATGAGGGCGGCCTGTCCAGAATCACCACTCGACAAGCTGGTGGCATGCGATGTGCTGGAAAGATCAGCTTCTGAGGTCAGCGGCTGGATTCAAAATTCTCCCACGGCTTGGAACGTGCAACCTGGACTCAACTGCTTCGCTGATATGTTACGAATTGTGTCACGACACAGGCATAGATGA